AAGCATGTCTTCCAAGCTCACCAATTATGAAAAATGGCAACCTGATTCTTCCACGATCAAAGAATTAGAGATTTGTTTTTCTCATTGCGTGTTATAATGCTTGACTAAATTTATTTTCAATTCAATTTGTTTGATGTAAGTGTAAATCCAAAAACAAAATTTACCCCTCCATTCAAAACTAACTTCTCATTTCAGTTTACTAGGTTTGACAAACTTTATTTTCAATTCAATTTGTTTGATTATAGGTTTAAAATTTAAAAATAAAATTTATATATTTAAAATTTGCATAAAAAGTTCTATAAAACTAAAGGAGGCATGTCTAAATTATTTTACCAGATGACTAATAAAAAACAAAGAAAAAACAAATAAAATTTAACCACGTGAATTGTAACAAGCTAAGGAACATAATTTTTGGACAAACGGCGTATATATTTAAAAACTAAATAAAAAAATTATAAAACAATAAGTGATATGACTATATTATTTTATAAAATGAGTAGTGAAATTAATCAAACAAAATGAATAATATTTGACGATGTGAATAGTACCTCAGAAGAATAATAACGAAAGAAGATAGTAATTTTTAAATATAAAAAATTTATTTTAGAACACTTATAATCAAATAAATTAATTTAACATAACTTCATTCAACTCCTAAGTTAAGAATTGAAGAATATTTTTGAATGAAGATAGTATTCCCTCTGTCCCAATTGGTTTCATGTTGTTTAAGAATAAATATGATGATCATTCATGTGACTAAAAAAATAAAAAAAGAATAGTGATTGAAGAGTGATACTCGCTCCGTGCTAAAAAGAATATCACATTACGCAAAACAAAACAAAACATCAAGTTTTTTCATGTTATTTTACATATTAACTGGAACCCTAGGACAAAAAAACGAAACTTACATATTCAAAAATTACGTGAAGCGGGTATTCTTTTTGGAACGGATAGAGACATAGAGTAATGACTTGTGCTATCGTGAATATAAGGTTCACATGTGTAAAGTGGATCGTCTCACATATTATTTATGGACTCATAGTTAGATCTCTCTCGTTTTACAAGGGAAAGTGCATTTAATCATTTCATGTTTGAAGGTCTATAAAATAAGTATTAATCTAAGGACTACAAAAGAATTTTTCGAGTGTAATATGAATATAAAAGAAATTTACTTGGGGATACCCTCGATTTTCTAGTACTAACTCACAGGTCTCACATTATCTGAAACATATTTAGAGGTACCCTCAACTTCTAAGTAATGACTCTCAAGTCTCACATTATTTAAAATATACTCCGAGGTCCTTAAAATTTGTAATATTATACTCTTAGAGTACATTTCATTCATTTAGGCATTAGGATTGAAACTTCATTTACTTTGATAAATTGAAGGCTTTTATTTAAAATTTAATAAAATAATAATTATCAAGATAAAATTTAGTATTTGTCAAAGTAATTCAACTCTTAATTCTAACGGCCAAATAGACAAAATGTACCCACGAGTATATTTTGAATAATGTGGGAATTGAAGGTTCTTGCAAAAAATCGAGGATTCCGAGGAGTACATTTCAGATAATGTGGGACCTAAGAATTATTACTAGAAATTTGAGAGTACTCCGATGTATTTTTGTGTGAAAATAAAGTACTTTTTAAGAAGAAAAAAAGACCAATAAAAAATAAAAAGAAACAAATAAAAATGACAAGTGCTAAAAAAACAAGTGGAATGCGTGGAGTACAATTTTTAGGGAAATGATATTTAATTTTTAGGAAATGATATTTGTACACCAAAAATTTTGCCCTACTTTGTACCTAGAATACATGCACCAACATTTTGTGCTAGTGTAATGTTAGTGTGATGCTAAGATGCTTCACAATAATTAAGCCTGTAAATGGATAGTCGAAAATCTGATTACCGTCCGCATCCATATTCGTTTAAAAAGAAAAAATCCGTATCCGTTTTAAACGGATATTATCCGCATCCGATCCGGGATAACCTATTACTAAACGGATGCGGATTTGGTATTTATGAATCCAATCCGTTTAAAATCCGATCAGCATGGACATCCGTTTCAACAACCTTTACCGTTTATCCGAATAACCGTTTATCTGAATCCCAAATAAAAATAAGTATAATAAATATAATCTTGTTATGTATTTAATATTTGCCCCAATTACCAATCCAATAAAGTTGGGCTACCAATAAAGTTGGGCTATTGACCCATTATGAGTAAATAACAAATTCAAAATTCACAAAATTCGGATAATCAGATTCTTGGATTTTAGAAAATTCGGATACTTAATCGGATGTTCGGTCGGATACGGATATATCCGAATCCGAAAAAAATCCGACGGTTTCGGATTCGGATTTGAATGTCAGAACATCCGTCGGATTCGGATGCGGATTCGGATGCTGTTTTGGCTAAACGGATGCGGATACGGATGTTGTATATCCGAGGCGGATTTTATCCGTTTACAGCTCTAACAATAATACAAAATGTCAGTATAAATTTTTTTAATTGAAGTAACATTTGTGTAAGTAAAAATTGTTAAAATATTGGTGGACCTTTTTTATTTCGGCCCGGTTCCATGGCCACTGGAATCCAGTGGCCACGGAAGCCACTGCCTCCCTACGGAACTCCGTTTATAAAATTGATGATTTCTACCCCCCTAACCCCCCAGTAAACCCACCCGTCAAGTCCCGACACAAACTCACCACCCCACCTACGTCAATTGCACCTCGTAAGCATAAAGTCAAAACTTTTGACTTTAAAGTCAATTATGCTTACGAGGTGCAATTGACGTAGGTGGGGTGATGAGTTTGTGTCGGGACTTGATGGGTGGGTTTACCGGGGGGTTAGGGGGGTAGAAATCATCAATTTTATAAACGAAGTTCCGTATGGGGCAGTTGCTTCCGTGGCCACTGGATTCCAGTGGCCATGGAACCGGGCCGTTTTTATTTAAGCAATAATCAAAACTTACTCACTAATCAATAGTGTACGGTTGTAGAGTCTACAAGAGTACAGGGTCACCACCACCATCAATATGATATATCCCCCCGTAGCCCCACCACTGGCTTTCATTCTTCACCCTAAAAAGAAGATAAGGACCACTAGTTTAGAGGGTCTAGTCACACTTAGACCACTTATACCTACAGCCTTGGAAAAGAGCTAAATGTCAATGCCCTAGTGATGATGCCACATTAGAAAGAAGGACCATGCTACACTTACACCCCATGTTTTGAAAATCGGACCGGGCGTTGACCCGGAGGAGACAGTGGGTCAAGGGCTAACCAGTCGAACCGGTCAACTCAGGGGTCAACGACCCAGTCAAATATATGTAAATAATAATATTTTATGTTAGCTGTATATTATTAGAGCACATATATAGTAAATAAAATTATTATAATTTATACTTGTCTTATTTCTACATCTAGATTTTAGTTTCATTGTACATATATTCTGTACTGTTTTACACTTTTTGTTTTTTATTCTATTATTTTTCATTATTATTGTGGAATACAAGTTAATAGTGAATATCTTTGAAGTATTCATTTTTCAAAAACATAAAGACTACATATTATGTTCTTATATACTATTAATATTTTAAAAATTATATTTAGTTGATTTAAATTTTTGAAAAATTAAGAAATGCAATACATTAAATTATAATCAATATTTTAACTTTTAGCTTTGAACTAACTTAAAATTTCATAAAATAAATAAAGACTAATCATGATAATAATATCGAGTATTCTCTATATTTAATAATTATGAATATTTTTAGGTAATTATGTATTATCTAAACAATTATTGAAAGTGGTATATATCCCGTTGCAGGACTTAAGGAACAAGTTCATTATTAGTTCAGGTGGTTAAACTCCTTCTTGAGAGGCGAGAGAACAAGGGTTCAAAACTAGGCTAGGCATTTATATTTTTAATAACTTAGGTTTCGCCTAAACCCAGGAACCGGCCGGTCCTACCCGGGTCGTCCGGGTCGGCGGCTTTCCCGGTTCTGGACGGTCCAACTCGAAAACGAGTTTCAACTATGAACCGGACCGGATAAGTGACTGGGTCACGGTTCAAACGGTTGAACCGGCCGATCCGGTCCGGTTTTAATAACATTGCTTACACCAACAAATATACCCCATTTGTACACCACAGGTTTGCACAAACATTTCAATGGTTTACACCGACACAAATGTTGGTGCGTTAATAAAAATTCACACGGACACAAATGTCGGTGCGTTTAACAAAAATTAGTTTTACACCAACACAAAATGTCGGTGCAAAACTGCGGGATACAAATTGGGGTACAAATCTTGGGATACACATAGCATAATCCTAGGAAGAAAAGAAGGATGAGGCCCGAAGACTCTCTCAGATCTGGTGGGAGGGATGCAACACTAGAAATCCAATGTGGTTTATTCATGTTTGAACCCTCCTCATAGGACTCTTTAGAACCGGTCAAACAATGACTTCAGAGATGATAAATTAAACTTTATTCAAAGAATTGTGATAAAGAATAAAATCTATATTTGATACTTGCAAAAACTCTATGCTTAACACAATTTCTTCCTGACATGATTGTCAGGAAACAAACTCGAACATTACCACATAGACATTTTTTGCCTTGCCAATTGCACAACACCCGCCAGTTATTTACCTTTTGTGATATCATTTGATATGTTTCTGGTTGGTGGCAGGACGTTTAAGAAGATATCTTAACATCTAAATTGATATCTCCAGAAATGAAATGATAAGAGTTTACTGAACACTCATAAAAAGATTCTCATATCGAAAAATATCACAATTAAACCCAACTATATCTCATGCTCTTCCCAAACGAGCCAACTTTTTTCCGACCTTAGGAACACAACTCTGTGGACCTCCACTCCCCACCCCCATGAAAAACACAGATAAAATGAACAAAATATGCAATTAAAATTTCCAAAAAAGTAGATGAAAAGCACATAAACACAGCATATCATCATCCATAACCTATAATATTCACATAGGTAACTAGTATATGTAGATCAAGGGAATGTCAAAGGCACAGATGACACATATCTTACAACAACAAAAAAAACCCCATTAAACATTTTTAACAACATCCATAAAGCATATGCATAGAATATAAGCAAAGCAGATGCTTATTATTCATATTTATAGTTGCATAAAAACTCATATACTTGTATTAGATATAGCTATTTATCAGCTCCCAATTCGCATTTCATCCGAGGAAGCAACACATTACTCAGTTACACTTTGCCTTTGAAGGGGATCGATTATCTCAGCCGTTGAATCACACACAAAAAATATGTGATTTTCCTCGTCTGTCCCGTGACCCTTGAATATACTTTAACTTAGACCAGCAGTCTTCCTGAAATAACAGAAAATTTAGATCAAAAAGAAAAAAATATATGAGTATTAATGGCCCTATCTGCATATAGACAATATGCCAGACCAGAATGTGGAAAAACAATTGACAGGCTTAAAAGAGCTAGCAAGACCATGCAATTTATGGTAATCAATAGCATGTGGAAGATTAATGCAGTGAAAAATCTTGGGTCTTTCAACTAACCAATTTCTTCTTCAAATACATTAGTTATTGAACTATTTGACATTAATGGTGATGAACAGAAGTACAGAGCAGAGGAAGGCATTTATTACTTAACTGACTTATTCTAGCAGCTTCTTGAAAAATCTTAAAAATCAGATTATTCAGTGTCAACAAGAATCTATTCATTCCTCCGTTTCGTTTATGACCGAGTACTACTAAAAAGATTAAATTATGTTGTTGAATATTTTGCACATGAGAGAAAATACTGCAGAGTATAACCACAAAATTCTTTCCTTGAAATGAAAGGGGAAGCTTTTATGGGTACAAACGAAAAGAAGAAATGCAAAAGTTTTCTTGGGACTATGATTATAGTGGTCAGAACCTTTGAAATTCTTTGACCACCGAAATCTCATTCAAAATCTCCAATTTTCCTTTCAAGAAACTATAAAGGGGCAATCACAAGAATTAGAACAAAAACCAGTTGTATAATTCACTATAACCACAGCAAATGACATTAAGAAAAAAACACACTTATTATAGATAGAAACATTCATTGGTTACAAATAATGCAGAAATGTGGCTTATGCTGATGAAGTTACTGAAAGGGCAGAAACATGAACAAAAATTCAAGTGATAAGCCAAAAAAAGCAATTACCAAACAACCAAGAAGTTCCACAAACCTATGGAAAGTGGATTCATGAAGAATAACACAATACACATGAACATATAGATAAACAAACATATACATTGCAAAAGCAGCAAAGATCAAAGTTACACTGATGTTTTCACTAAATGAAAGTACCATACCTCAGAATCTATCCAACAACTTCTTGATTAGCTTCGAATGTATGATCAGAATGAGTTCATTTCCAGACAGTAAGTCCTCCCCTTCACCAACATCCTTGCGGCTGTTCCATAAGGTTCATCAAAAGCAGAAGCTACCCAATTCCCATCAGACCCAACCACGTCTTTCTTTTGTTCGCTCGGCCTAATTGCCACCAAGGTCGCACCTTTCAGCACCGTACCATCTGGTAACACCAAATGAGGTGCGAACCACAACCGCATATTCAGAGCCGGCACCATAGTCCTCTTTGACGCGGACGAAGCAGACAACGGTTTCACTCTTAGCTCCTCCAGTTGCTCCCTGTTCATACACAGAACCCCCTGCCCATCCGTGTCTGTCAAAATCAAATGATCTAAAGTTCTGTGCTCTGCAATTATGGGCTGCAGCAAATAATGCCTGGCAGAAGCAGCAATTAAAGAGCTTATTGTCCAGACAACTCGTAATTTCAAGCCCCCACTGGTGTAAAATGACTCCGGTATGCTCCCATTGTCGTTCTGGGCATTTGCTTCGCTCTGATCATCAGGGTTTCTGTTGGGATTATCCGGCGTTGTGGGGTGAGTCACTGATGAAGCGCCTAGGATGACACAAGTATCAAGGGTGGACCCAAAATCGGCTCTCCATTTGAGCAAAACCCCGTCATCTATTCCAAGCTCGCCGCTGGGCAATTCGATCCGAAGGAATTTGATTTCTTCGAAATTCTTCAAGACCTGTGTTGGGGAGTGGTGGGTCACGGAGTTCTGATCAAATCTGCCGTCTTCCATGGCGGGAGAAGCAGAGAACCGTCGAGGGGGAGTGGGGGCGGAGATCAATTGGGTAAGGGACTGGAACGGCTTGAGGAGACCCATAACTACAAGACGAATGAGGGAAGAGATCGGGTGGCGGGACTTGTCTGAGGCGGCGGACGAGGAGGACGACCCGTCGTCATCGGAGATGACACAGTCTACACGGACCACGACGTTATCAACCTGCGGCACCAATGAATGGAAACGCCTCGAAACAACGCAGCATCGGCCGAGAGCTTTGACGTCGCCGATCATGTTGAAGACGACGAGGACGAGAGAGTCCGGGAGGCGGTCGAATTGGTCCACCGGATCGGGGCAGACTCTGCACCTCAGATCTGGGGCGGCATAATCCATATCTCCGAGCAATTTCAAGATATGATATGATATGATATGATGACTATATGTGTGTGTACGGGTAGATATACAGTTAAGTTTGTACAGCCATTTATATGATGAGCGCGAGAGCAGCGAATTCAGTAAATCGGAGAGTGGGGTTTATGGATCTACAGAGTAGACATGGCAGATTACTGGAAGGTGTGAAGCGCCAGAGAGAGAGAGAGAGAGAGAGAGAGAGAGATGGCTGAAGATGAACGGAAACCAAGTTGAGAGATAAAGTATGCGTGTATGCTATGATGGGTTTTGGTGTTTATTCATTGTCTAATTGATTAAAATGTTCTTTTAGTTAGGGCGTTAGGGTGTCCTTCTATACTAGATTCTAGTTAGTGCATTGCACGGTAAAAATATTAATTGATAATGTAGACAATAAAAAAATATAAATAAGATATAATTATAGATAATATGATGGGTCATTAAATTTCAATTCTCTATAAATTCCCTGTAATCCACATAATATGTTTCATCAATCAATAGTGCATGATATTAGTAAAACAAAATAAAATCATAACTCAAAAAACTTCTTTATATACAAAATTTGAAGTGTGATTGAGAAAGTTGTTTTCTTCAATGCAAGCCAAGATCTTCAATCATTGTCAATATATCACACTTGAAATAGTAATATAGAATTGACTGTGTTTAAAAACTGACTAAATTTTATTCGACATGTCAAAGTTGAGAATGTTGAACTATGTTACATGTAGCAATCCCAAAAAAACTCAACGGTGAATGAAAACAAATCGTAAAAATACAAAATATAGGAAATAAATAATGAATATGATTTCATTCTCACATCATAGAGCGCAGTACACTAGATGTAAGATAAAAATCGTGACCTGCAACTCTTTCATAAATAATCAAAATCGAGAGTAAAGTGTAAAATGAGAAACGCATTTAGGGATATACAAAAACCTCAAGTCGGCTTAGTCTCATATTATGGGCTAATTTTGGGCCAAATATATTGAATGGAGTAGAGATGCGCTCATATTTTTGGGCTAGAGGTTACATATTGGACTTTTTATCTAAATATTATCTCTGTCCATGAACATTTATCTACTTTTAATATTTTGCGGTCAATCATTTTAATATTTGACATATAATTCAATAAAATATATATTTTATATTAATTTGATAAAATGGAATTTTGAAAATATTTTATAAAATAAATTTATTATCAATTTTATTTAATTAATTATTACAGTTTATCAATTTTGACTATAAAAAATAAAAAATGACAAATACTCAGGGACAGGGGTAATGCAAATTACTCTATTCTTGAAATATTAAGAGAGACATGCTACTTTTTTCTTTTACCATATTTGACATTTTAAAGTTAAATTGGATGCACTTAAATTTCTTATGTTTTTTAATATACATCATGATTGAATTTGTAATCCAAATCTCTTAACATCTTTTGTAACATTAGTAATGATACACAACTTAAGATCATGTGTAGCGGCATTCCAAGCCCTTGCCATGCCATGCCACCTAGGACAAAAAGTTCCCCTTTCTCGCGTGGAAACATCATTCCTCCGTGGAGTGCAAGGCTTGGGCGAGGCACATCTAACCTTTTTTTTGCTTTTCAATTATTTTTTTTAGAAATATTTTTTTTGGTAAAGTAATAGAACCATTTTTTACTTTTTCCATCTCGCAATAGATTATAATTTTTTCTCACACCCCTTGATATCTTTTGTTTATTTGTATGTTTTCATTGATTATTTAATTAAAAAATTTTTGCCACGTCTTTTTTTGTAGAACTTTTTATGTAATTTTTAAACTTATAATTTTTATTTTTAATTCTTATACCATTTTTTAAATGAAATGATTTTTAAAAATAGAGAGTTTTTGCATCGTAATTCTCAAATAATAATCTAAATTCAGATGAAAGAATAAATAAAATTATGGAGTAGATAACAAAAACATTCTTAGAAATTGTTTATTTGAGTAAATAGAAATATTTTCATGATAAAAATATATAAGTAAAATAATTTTTAAAAATTTAAATATGGCAAAAATATGAAAAAAATGATGAAAACAATGACTTGCCACTGCAAGACATGCCACTCCACTCACGTGCCACTTATTGACTGGACTATTTTTTATTGGTTAAAATGCTTCACGTTAGTGTGTGACATTCCATTTTTGCCTCACCATTATTCATGCTTTAATAAGTTCCTTAGATTTTCATGCAAATTATTTTAAAACTCTATAGATCTTACGGATTTGTAATGCAATCAATTACTTGTCATCGAGGTGATAATGTATTGTTTATTTATAAATTAATTTTATTATTCAAAAAAGGCAAACATAATAGGTGTGGCATTACTTTATTATAGCCCTGCTCCCAAAATGAAACTAATTAATTTATTTTCACAAATATAAAAATCCATTTAATATGAGGCTAATTATTTTATTCATTATCTACAATTAGGGGTAACTAAATATGCATGTTCTAAAGGCTAATACAACCCCCCTCCCCCCACAACTTTTATTTTATTACGTATATTCATTGCTTTAGTAGGAACTAACCATGACTCACAAATACGCAGTAACACTTAGATTTAATTTGATATCATATCTGTTTAGTACATATAATTTCATCCAAAATGTGATATTGAGTAAGAGTTTACGGTTAACATATCCATCAGTAAGAGTTCATGCCTTCAATCAGTTTTAGTTTTTCATGTGCTCATAACACCTTTTTTGATACTCCGTAGAATTTAGGACGAGATATGTACAACTCGGGGATTGGGTAATAAGACATTTGGCTTGAACCACATTAAAAGATTGAATCCAATCGATTAGTTAGTTTAACTCAAGAGCTTATATACCGATTATTTTGTTCTTAAACTTCTGATGTGGGATGACACTCTCTAACATTTTATATTGAATTATGTCTTCTCAAAGAAGACCCACTTTTAAGTCAAAATAATTACTCCATCCGTTTCATAAAACCCTTTCCCTTTCGTTTTTTTCCAATTCCCTAAAACACTTCCACTTTCTATTAAAAAACCACTTTTACCTCTACTTTTTCATACCCTGCCTATAACATCATACTTTTTCACTGATAACCAAATTATCGCATCTTACATTTACCCATCATATCAGGAGCAAAAATGGGAAGTCAACTAAAATTACACTTTCCTTATTTTGGCCCAAAGTCAAAATAGGAAGTGTTTAAAGGAACGGAGGGAGTAGTATTTTAGCAGAGGAAGAGATAATTAGCAGATGCAATTCATATCACGACTATAACATAGATTCATTTCATTATAAAATAACATATAGCATATTTTCAGTAAACGTAAAACATCGATGTTTTACCTTTGCATCGATTCCACTTTCATATGGAAAAAAAGTACATCAACATAGATATTTAAAAGATACTTGGCTGTGTTATATACAAACATTTTTTCAAACCAAAAAATGAAATTTAACACTAAGAAATTATATCCATCATATTCTTTCCCTGATCACAGAGTGGTGCGCCCGAACAGTACGTTTGCATACGAAGTGCCCAATCTATAAATTAAATTTGCCATTTCTCCTCGTTCTTGTCATCAACTTCCTTAAGAAATGACCATCTCCGACTTTGACATTGGGTGGGCTATTGCTTCCTGTCCTAGCAAATTGGTGAAATAATAGCTGCAGAATTTATCTATAAATTTTCATTGTGCTTTGTGTTGAACTTTAGGTTTGATGGGCGAAGCTTCAATTTATAAGGATCCTCTTAACGGGGGGAATAATGGGGTGGAATGAAGATGTAGACGTGGGGGGCATTAGTGGGATAAGTAGTGGGGTAGTTAATTTGATTTATTATTATTATTTTTCCAAAACAAAACAAACACTAAGATACGGAGTAGTATAAATTATAAAAATTTAAAAGAAGCCCAGAAATCACCTAACCTTCCATACCATGGTAAACCGGCCCACATTTTTGTACCCACCCCATCCAAAATAATAGGCCCAGTCCAATCTCACCCCCTTCATTTTTCCTTCATTTTACAACCTTCCCTAACCCTCAGCCCCTTCATTTTTCATGCGCCTCCCTCTCTCTCTCTCTCTCTCTCTCTATCTCTCTCTTAGAATGATTTCTTGAATCCAGATTTTATTTTTTTGTTTCGTTTTTTCCATTACAATCCCATTCAAGTCGTTTGAATTTGGATTTTGCTTTCATTCCTTTTAGAATGAATTTTTCAATTCTTTTTGGATTTTTCTATGTTTATATGTCCTCGGCGTAGACGGATTCTCTTAGAAAATGAGGTCTGCTATCCAGTCTCGAGATCGACATTTGTTTATTCACGATTATATGGCATTTCATGTATATATTAATATTTTTTGGTATTTTTTCAAGTATTTATATTATTTTTACATTTTTTTTGTTTCCGTAGATAGATCTTTATTTTATCTATCAGATCTAAGAACACCCATTACATATAAATATATTTTCAATATATTTTTCGAGTAATCTATATTATTATTTCTGTTTTATATCTTGTTGTATATTTTATTTAATACAACTAAGAAACCCTCATATATGCATGTAACATTTCAGTCTATTTTCAAGTATTTATATTTTTTTTAAATTTTTTGTGTGTCGGTGGATAGATCTTTATTTTATCTATCAGATCTGAGTACATCCATTACAATATAAATCTATTTTCAATATGTGTTTCGAGTAATGTTTATTACGGAGTATTATTTACGTATTATACTGCATATATATTTTTTTTATTACAATTAAAAGTACCCTCATACAAACGTATACATATGTATATATGTATGTATGTATGTATATGTTGAGGGGTGTTTTTTATTGTTTATGTGTTGTCGAAGTATATACTTTTTTTAATGGTAAATCTAAGAGTATAATATGTGTTGAGGGGTTTTCCCTTTGTTTTCATTTGTTGGTTTTTTTCTGTGAAGGAACTTAATTGTTTCCGCAGAAAAAAACCAACAAAGGAAAACTGGACTGCAGAAAAAATCCAACAAAGGGGAACTGGACTGCAGAAAAACATCTATATATACAACATATGTAAATGAATTCAGACTTTGTTTCTGCAAATACTTCTCATTCACTCAACACGAAAGTCTCCCCACAGTAAGATGGATGAAATGAAAACTGGACTGTGATTTGGATATTGTGATCTATTTATAACCTAGAAATGAGTGGGAAGTTATTAAGGGGATATTGGGTTGTAGTGGAATATTGCCAAT